TCCCTGTGTCTCTCATGCACCCTGTATATGTATGGGTATGGGTGCATACATGCACTCAGAAAGCTACTGATGGTGTGAAAGTAGGAGGTAAAAATAGAAGGGAATAACAGTATTTTAGATTAAGCAACCTTTATACAATTATTTTCTGTAAAGTTTTACTTACTCTTTATTTAAAAAAAAAAAAATTTGTTTGGGTGTTTCTAGGAGAATCCAGAAGTGTGGTTCACAAGACCTCTTCCACCCTCTTTGCTGAAAATTTTGGCCCTGGAGGCAACCTACCTGCTACCCCTTCGCTTGGTACTTATGGATGAGATGATGTCTGATCTAACTACCCTGGTGGATGGGTACCTAAACACCTATAGAGAAGGGTCTGCAGACCGGCTTGCAGGCATGGAGGTATGTGCACCTCCTTTTCTGCAGTTTTTGCCTCTTCCTCACGAGGGCACAATGATACCTATTCATCATAACCATAGTAACTTTCATGGGCAGACTTAGTGATAAATATTCTTAAAGAGAATATGGTTTGTGCTTGATCCATCCCTTTCAGCACCTTTTCCCCAAATCATCATGTTTCCAATGAATGTTTCTGTCAATCAAGTAAACATAAGATTTTATGAATTATTTTTAATGCAGCCAGAGTAACATAAGAGTGTATAAGTAAGCAGTTGGTGACAGATAGATAGATAGATAGATAAATAGAAAATAAATAAATATAAATATGTACACACACATATATATATAAAATAAGTCAACCATCATAAGTCAAAGACTGTCTGTATATGAGACAGAGTTTACAGCTGACAAAGCCCAAAATATTTATTCAATTCAATATTTATTCAACTTACTACACATTGTATACATATATATATATTAAAATACACACTGTACTTGATAAGTATGTACAATTAATATGGCAATTAAAAATAAAGATGTAGGGGCTGGGGTTGTGGCTCAGCTGTAGAGCACTTGCCTAGCTTGTGTGAGGTGCTGGGTTCGATCCTCAGCACCACATAACAATAAATAAAATAAAGATATTTATTTTACTAAAAATATTAAATAAATAAATAAATAAATAAAGATGTATACAAACTCCACTTAAAATGTATGATATTTTGCTTTTTTTTTTTCATGTCAGACCAGAAATGTGCCAATATCATAGAAAGGCTTGAGGAAGGAACATCTCACACAATATCATGAAAACCTAATTATCATGTTTATGAACTACAAAAGACCTATATATTTTTATTTTAATGTGTTATTGGATTCTAGTTGCAAACATGGTTCAATATTAGGATATTTCTCCATTTTCCGTAGAGCCAAGAAAGATTTATGATTATCTCATAAATGCTGAAAAAAATTTGTATAATCCTTTACATGCATTACTGATTAAAGTCAGAATGGATGGGTACTTTTCTAATACACTGGGCCAGGCATGGTGGTGCATGCCTGTAACCCCAGCAACTTGGAGACTGAGGCAAGAGAATCACAAATTCAAAGCCAGCCTCAGCAGCTTAGTGAGACCCTAAGCAATTTAGCAAGACCCGGACTCAAAATAAAAAATGCGGGCATGTAGCTCCATGGTGGAAAAAAATCCCAGTACCAAAAAACAACAACAAACAAACAAACAGCTGTCATAAGCAAAAAGAAAATTTAACAAAATAGTAATAATATAAAAGTTAATAGGTTTTCTAAATCTATATAAACAGCTAGAAAATATAATAGGAGAAAACATCCTATGTATAGTTGTATCAAAAAATACAGGTTGCCAGATGTGGTGGCGCATACTTGTAATCCCAGCAGATCGGGAGACTGAGGCAGGAGGATTGCAAGTTTAAGACCAGCCTCAGTGACTTAGCAAGGCCCTAAGCAACTTAGTGAGATCCTATCTCAAAATAAAAAATAAAAAGGGCTGGGGATGTGGCTCAGTGGTTAAGTGCCCCTAGGTTCAATCCCTGGTACCAAAAAAAACCAAAAGACATAAATGAAGCAAACATTTTAATATTACTGCACATTGTAAAGGAACACTTAAATGAATGAGAACACTAAAAATTTTTAGCTATTGATTATTCCTAAATTAATCTTTGAATTTAATTCTTTTCCCATAAAAATAGTAACACCATGGGGCTGGGGATGTGGCTCAAGCGGTAGCGCACTCGCCTGGCATGCATGCGGCCCCGGGTTCTATCCTCAGCTCCACATACAAACAAAGATGTTGTGTCCGCCGAGAACTGAAAAAAAAAAATAAATATTT